TTAAATGTATAGGCACATACTGTGCAGGCATCTTTACCTGGTGACAGATGATTGGCAATTACGTCACTAATATAAGTCTTTGCAGTGACCTTGCACCCCTCTGACTGGCCATGGTTCACGCACGCTCAGTTTGATGCGTTTTATGTGGTAAATGTGACCTCAGTTATAACCCGAGGTCACGCTAATGCAGGAGCGTTACATTAAAGTGACATAAACAGACTTTTATACTTACACAACAGATGAAATACTCCATTTATCTGTGCGACACACTACGCACCCCCACCTTTGGTCTCTTTGGTCACGTGACTTGTGGAACCAAAATGGCCGCTGTTGTATTTTGACGTATAATAGCTAGCTACTTTTCTTTTTGTTTCATTCTTGGTAGAAAACCAGCAAACAGCAGACTTTTTGGGGGAACTATATTTCGCCATCCTCCGAATATCGGTGTCGTTTTTTATCTTGAAGACAATCAAAATCCTGACACATATATTTGTTGAACGAGTTAGACTATGCATATTTAGATCTAATACAAGCTAGCTAGCTGGCTCTGGCTGGCATATTAAAGCATTAGAAAGTGAAATAGCTAGCTGTCTTAGCTGGGATGATGGAGGAGTTGAGCGCAGATGAGGTAAGGTGACAATATGAATAAACGCTTACACAGGGAATTGAAATGATTTTACGTTACTGACGTTAGAAATGTACGTTTTGCAAATTCTTCCTTTACCCCTTTTAGGGGTATTGCTGCTAGCTGAGATGCTACAAAAACTAGCTGATGGAAGAAATACATTTTCGCTAAATATCTCAGTTAGCTAGAACACGGCAGTGGGTGTCACGCAGTTTAACTCAAAGGCTAATTATTCACTTCTTATATTGGGAATATAAGAAGTGAAAGAACGAGAGGCGGATTTGGGCCGTGTTCTATTTAGCTGGAGCAGCTGGGTTGCTAAATGAAAGTAGCTAACGTAATGCTACAAGCTGGAGAACACTGCTCTTATATAAAGCATCGAACATATTTCAAGATATTGTTAGCCGCTTGTAAGTGGCAGATATTTTTCGGTGTTGTGTTTTGACAGGGAGATTAGGAAGGGAAGACGTTCTTTTTACTGATATGTTTTCGCATGTCACCTCGCGGCGGTTTAGCTGACAGTCAGAAATTAGCCTGCGAGACGACTCAGCATAAAAAACACACAGAGACCGGGCCACCATTGTGCAATCAGCCGTGGGCCGATGCATGGCCATTGAGCTGTTTATGTGAAATCACATACAGCATACTGCAGCTTACTGTTATCATTTTCAGCTGCTCGATTAGCATTCAGCAGAGTGTGCAGCAGATAATTTAGCTTTAACGTCGCTCCTCGGCCAAGCTGCGAAGATTGGTGTCCGCATCTGACTTTATTCGCGATGTTTTTCTTCAGATCTGACTTTAAAACGTATAACAAAGAAAATCTTTGCCTTTCTGGGCAATACATGCATAATTTGGTTATTCTTACAGTGTCCAGGCATTTATATACATACATATAGGTTTATTAATAACCTATTAATACATTTCAACATTATGCAGTTATGAAGAGCTACAGAGTTCTTTTAATGACCCTGTAAATCTGCTCATTCAAGATTCGCAGGAGGAGACTGGCACGATTGGCAGGAGGACAAACGTCCCAGCCTAGCACCCCTCTCAGCACACCCCTGACATCCCCACAGAGAGAGACTCCACCTGGACCCCTCCCTGGACCCTCAGGTGCTGCACCCCAACCCGTGCCACCAGCTGCCTCTCAATCACTGGGCCTCAATGTCCACAGTGGTACCCCTGCCACATCCCCTATGGGCACCTCTGGTAAGAAATTAAAACAAGGTTCTGGGAATTTCCTATAAGGAAAAAAAA